CACAAATACTATCCTAAGAAAAAGCAAAAATAAACGCAGAACATAAGGTGAAACTAAATCCTCTACATCGTTCAATTCTGAAGGCTTCTTCTATTAGAGTTATCTGAATCTTTTTGCTCATGTTTTCTAAGCTCGACCAACGGTCAATGAGAATCCTTATTCACAATTCGTATAGAGTAAATGTGTGAATTTCTTCGTAATCTGAATAGTATTTTAGATTAAATTCAGATATCATTCATGTATCTTATCTTTGTGTGCATTCACATCGCTCGCAGAAGTGATGTTTACTTATTGAGCAATCTTCATCGAATGAATGAATGAATGTGCGGAACGAATTTATTTTCTCTTCTGTCCTTCTCTAACGTTATTCGTTTTTCCTTTCTCTTCTCTGAATTTTTTCTTTTATTTCTTGACTTAAATTTTTCTTTTCTTCCTTTTGCTTTCTTATCTCTCCAATTTGATTAAGACTAACAATCAATTACTAAGCATATGATATCCGTTCTGTATATGCCACATGCATTTGTCGAATATATATTAACTGAAAATATTACTCTCTTCTGACTTGGCTAGTGTTTCTAATTGGATTATGTAGCTCATAATTAATAATGTTGTATTGCTTGTCATAGAATGAGTTTCAATTAGCTCATATACTGATCAGTTGATAATTTGTGATGAAAACTCTAATGCAGCACTTTTATGTTTGAGAATATTAGGACCTTATAATTTATCGTATCGGGTTGGTGCAAAAGTCTCCGCCGATTTTTTTTCTTTTCAATGTTTCATGATTTTATTGAAACAAAACGTCACTAATCGACAACATATATATACCATTATTGTCTATGACATACTCCCATCTTTTAGGCAAATCGAGAATGCCATCTTTAAAGAATTTCTTTGATAAAGACGAAAAGAAACTCTCGAGGTCCGATTTTAGATGTAGTCGATCATCAAAATGCTTTTTCACCAGGTGATTGCGGAGCGACCGGAACAGATGATAATCAGAAGGTGCCAGATCTGGTGAATATGGTGGATGAGGTAAGACCTCCCACCCTAATTCTTCCAGCTTCTGGCGAGTAACTTTTGAGAAATGAGGTTTTGCATTATCATGAAGCAATCGAACTTTTCGTCTTTCTGGACGATTTCCTTGTAGTGCAATTTTCAAATTCTCAAGTTGTTTGCAGTAAAGCTTCGAATCGACCGTGGTATTAGGTGATAGAAGTTCCCAGTAGATAATACCTTCGAAATCCCACCAGATCGACAGCATAATTTTTTTCGGATGCAGGTCGTTTTTTGGTTCAGGTTCAGGCAAATCTTCAGGATTGACCCATTGACGCTTGCGTGTATGGTTGACATACAGGACCCACTTTTCATCACCAGTGACAATCTGTTGAAGAAACTTGTGTCGGTTGCGTTTTGACAACAAAGAATTGCATATGGTGATTCTTTGCTGTATATTGTCCGAGCTTAGTTGATGTGGAATCCATGTTTCAAGTTTACTAACTTTTCCAATTTCATGTAAATGCCGATCGATGGTGGAGTGATCGCATAGAAGCATAGCTGATAATTCACTGGTAGTTAATCGTGGATTGTCTTCGATCAGGACTTTTAATTGTTCAATATCAATTTCCAGAGGACGTCCAGACCTTGGACGATCTTCCAATGACATATCACCTTCCCGAAATCTTTTAAACCAATCTCGACAAGTGCGATCAGCAACAACACCTTCACCAAGTGCAGCACATATATTGTGCACAGCAGCACTTGCATTGTTCCCCAGTTGGAACTCATACAAAATGCAATGTCGAATATGAATAGAAATCTCTGACATATTTTAATATGGAATGTAAATAAAATCGGACATTCGTTAATATCACATTATAGTACTACACAGGTGGTATCATATGTGCGAAAACCACGCCTGTATAGTAGCGCTAGATGGCTTTAAAAGACTTTCAAAAAAAAAAAATCGGCGGAGACTTTTGCACCAACCCGATACGTTTCGAGCTTTGAACATAATCAAAAAATTAGGATTTCAATGTGACATTTGAGACTTTAAATCAATAAAATCAACCTGTATTTTCTCGATATTCTAATGTTCGCACCAACACATGATTTTGATTCATATGATGTCAATGTTATGCGGATTTTTACTTTAATCAAAGAAACTCTTTTTTCATACAATTAAATCTACAGCGAATACTTTTTTGAAGTAATTCAGCAGATCAAAAGATAAATGGAAGCTCCAAACGGACTAAATGTCTTTCACACGTACTATGAAACAATAAAAAATATAAATTCATGAGAATATAAATAATTATCAGAACCAGTCCCAAAAAAAAGATTAATCTACTTTGAGCATTTACAGCTGTTTTCGTTGGAAAAGATTATCATAAACATTTCTCACTATCTTTTACGAACAAGAAAATGACTTATATAATCGTTTCAGA